TTCTTTTTGCGAGGCTAGGGGCCTGAGGGGTATCGTTTTTCTAGAGTAATGGAGGCGGAGCTTTTTCCGCGGAAGATTCCTCGAATGTATGGAGCTCCGCTGATTCCCTGATCAGACCCTACCATTGCGTTGTGCAACTTCCCCTCCCCATTACCCTTTCCCCTTTGGAGTAGTTCCTAATACCACTCTTATACAGGTTTTGCTACGGTAGTCCTACCACCAACCTGCTGGTCTACGGACAACTTGAACTCCGCCCTTTAAACCGCTTCGAATTGATGCTCGCCTGCGCTCTCTCGCCTGAACAGCGGCTTATGGTTACTGTGATCTGATGCATTCAAATTTTGCCACAATATGATTGGCTCACCCACTCCAGGAGTCCCTCCTCCCTCCAAGGCTTAGTCCTAGGGCTCTCACCTTCTGCTTGGATTTGGAGCCGAGCCAGGCGCCGTTCTCTAATCGTCTGTGCTCTGGCCTTTCGCGGCAGAGAACACAGGGGAGAGTTCAAGTAGTCACGTAATCCAACCTGCTTCCATCGCCAAAAATGGTGGGAGAGGAGAGGGAGGGGAGTTTCAAAAAATTCTCCCATGTTCCGACAAATCTTTTCTCCCGTCCCTTCTGTACAATGGAAAGCTCACCAGGTACACCCTCTCTAACCCCTCCCCTTACTCCAGAATCGTAAGTACTACCATCCTTTGCTTCTCCGGAGGCAAGACAAGACAATCATTCTCAAAAGGGCTAAAAAGAGAAGCGCCGCGTCCCACGTCCCTCTATTCCTCACAAAGATGACCGCCGGAGCTATCAACGGATAAATGGCTATATTTCCAAGTGCTGGTGTGAGAACGGGTAAATGACGGAAACTACAGCAGTAAGATCAGCTACGAACAAATGTTCATATGGGGTGGAGGGGAGCCGGGGATAGGGAAGGTCATATGGTCTCCTCGAAGCTATAAGAGCTCACAGGACATTCATAGATGTTATCAAAATTTCGCGCTGCTGTGCTTGATTAGGCCCAAAAACAAAACCTGAGCAAAAGGTGAAGGTAGATAGTATAAGTCATAAGAGTTCAATTTTTGCGCAGATTCAAACATAATTCAAGACTACTCGACTCACCCATGAAAGCGATTACTAACGACTGACCAACAGAACAATCTGATCGGATCACTGTCAATTACAAGTCCTGCTTACGTGCTCTATTAGTCAAATGACAGGGTGACTGAGAAATAGCGCTTTTATTATTTGCCATGCACCCATTGGAACTTACCCTCGCCTTCAAATGACCAGAAATTGTGCAATTGCAGAAATTGACGTGGCATTAACGTGGCATCGATTCAAGAACATCTTTGAGCACACGTGATGAGAATTTAGCCACATGGCAAAAGGTGACATCACGTGTGCTCAAAGATGTTCTTGAATCGATGCCACGTTAATGCCACGTCAATTTCTGCAATTGCACAATTTCTGGTTATTTGAAGGCGAGGGTACTTTGACTTTGACGTGCTTCTGACTATGTGTACATCAGAAGTGGAACATGAAACGGTCGTCCAAGAAAAAAAATTATCCACGAATTTGCAGCTCGTCATTGGAATGAAAAATGGATTGACAGTCGACCAGGCGAAAGTACAAATGAGTGTTTGGTGAGCGTTCTTTGTACCTTTTCCCAATTATGTTGCGAATTCGCAATCTTCTTTTTCACTTATCCGTATGATTCGATTTCTTATTGGCCACCGTAATTCGCGAACCAATACATAGCAGCCTAAGCTCTGCCTTCCCAAGCCACCTGAGCTACTGCGCATCATCGGACCGCATTGTTTTTTATAATCACATCACAATTTCAGGTCAATATGGTCAGCTCCACTAATTATGTCAAACGATCTTCGTGAAATCGACCCAAAATTCAAAGAAATTCTTCTCAATCGTGATGTCATTGCCATAGATCAGGATCCCATGGGTAAAATGGGGCGATTGATGCTATCAGTAAGTACTGTTCAACATTTTCCTACTTATCGGACGTTTCACCATTTTTCATTGTACGATGGAGACATATAGGTTATGTGTGACCGTACAACTATTTTCGACTCCGGAGCAACATGTTATACTGACCTCCAAAACATTGAATAGTACATGCGAAAATAATTCAAAGAGCATCCATTTTCTGGAATTTCTGAAAAATTATTGAAGGTTTCTTTGCCCATTCCAGAACGACAACACTGCCGTGTACGTGAAGCCAGTGATGCCGAGAGAAGTCAGCGACACCTCTTTTGCCATAGCCGTTGTCAATAAGCATCTATCTGTTACCTACGTAAGTTCATAGATCGATGTTACCATGTGGAAATCCTTTGTGTTCTGTGGAGGACACTAGATTCGGTATTGAAGACAAAGTTCAAGATTTGTGGAAAACTGAAGCCTTTGCGCGTGAAGTATTATGGAATGGAATGCAAACGCAGAGCATGCACTCTGTCGGCGTTAACGTGGCTGAAGCGCTGAGATCCAAGGGTTTATCAAATGCTCCGCCCATCACCATACACGCTTTCCGCAAACCAGTGCTATTTCGTTTCGCTGCTGTTGGAGAGGGGGTTTGGTTTTTGCCCTTGCCGACTTTTTTTTTTCATTACCGGCATTACACCACACATCTCCACTGTCACTTACAAGCACAATAACACATAAGGTCGGTTCCAGACTCTGTCTTTAAACACGTATGAGAAGCGTATGGTTGGTCACAGTTGCGCTCTACCACTAACAAAGCCCATGTGATTCACTGCGTGCATAGGTTGGTAGATGCCATGGCTGAGAACGAAGCACAATCTTGTAGAGAAACTCCTTTTGACAGACTTCACATAGATGTCGGTCAGACTCTGCGATTGCATCGCGCGATGCAGTCGCTCTTGCAATGTGCACAAGCGACGGGCGATTGGCCCCGCCCACATCGATGCAGTCGACATCGGTATCGATCGCGGCGGGCCATTGCCCGCCGCTTGCACTTTGGCAGAGCGATTGCATCGCGCGATGCAATCGCAGAGTCTGACCGACATCTTACATTACATTTTTCAGACGATCAAGTTCGCATTGAACAAAGTTGGTATGAATCATGAGGCTGGATACCAGATCAAAGATCTCTGGTCTGGACAGGATATGGGAGTATTCAAGCCTACGGACACACTCACTGTGCAAGTACCTGCTACAGGAGCGGCAATGTTCAAAGCGACTATTGTTTAATAAGATCTAGTGACTTCTTAGCCTAATAAAATTTCAGTTCTGTATTTACTGTCAAGTGATATGTAGCTGTGCATGATACGGCACTCGTCACACGGGTGATGAGCAACGAGTTGCTCAAAAATATCTTCTATCAGCAGAACATGTCCTTATAACTTATGTTTCTATGACTGTATTCACCCAACAATTTATTATCCTTTGCCAGCCACCTGCACAAGAACACGAGGCTCTGAATTTGTGGGTATCGACCGGTCGATTAACTTCGAAGAATTCTGTCAATTTGCAGCGAAGAATCCTGTTAATGTGCAGAAGTGATGTTGCACCTATGCGCACGCCAGAACCTGTTCCAGTCCCCATAGAATTTCTCATAATTGTAAATTGAGTCCGGACACTCAGAACGGAAATTTCAGTGCAAGCCTTTCTCAAAAACTCGAATTCCGCGCTACAGTACACGCTTTCGGTAAATTCTCGCATGACACATGTCGTGAGCACAATCCTCAACCTTTTCTGTCAATGCCCCCCCCCCATTCCTCTAACTTGGTTAACAGACGAACTAGCTCGCGGCAAAAAGAGGACAAGCACTATAAAGACAGACAATCGCAAATGTGATGGCCATAGATATGGCCTTGTCAAAAATGACTTTTTGAAGGTTGTGCTTCATGAATTTAAACCGAACCATAGGATGAAATTGGCTCCAGCACCCTTACATGTCACCAATGGATTTCTGCCTATTCAAGTCCCTCAGAGAAATTTCTGAGCGGAGGTTTGGCGGTGTTCATGACATTCGCAAAAGCGAATGAGTTTTCTGAATCAAAGACGGTTGGGTATTAGAAATGTTTATTCGACTGGTTGTCGCAAAAATGACAAAATGGTATGACTCTCATGGAACATATTCGGGATATCCCGAAACTTTCCGAAAGTTGGTGGCATTATTTGAATGCGATAGTCATCAACTAATTTTTAGTAACTTGCTGCAGCTTTGCATATCGTTTTAAAGCGCGTTTCTCGCTCTATCTAGTGGTAGTGTCAGTTTTGTTCAAAAGTAGTTGTTGCCACTTTTCTAAGCCTTGAAAACCACCTGGTCAAAAGGCGATTCCGCATCACTTATTATTTCAACCATAAATAGCCGAAGAGAGGCGAGCACGTCGCAATATCAGCTATGTGTTTGGTCCAAGATTCACAAAAACAGCGCTGTGCAGCAATGGTTCAGATAGCTTTTCCAGAAATTGCGAGAGCCTCGAAGATGAGAGGGTAGAGGTTGGATATCGGACATGAATAAAAATTAATTAAGGATTTTGACTAAACTAAATCTGCACAGAACTGTAGAGGAGCCCAATACTAAATTCGGTATAGTCCACCTACCCTCTTCTGTCCACTGAAACGACCCTTTTCTTAATTGGATTTTAAAATGAGTGCCAAAGGATGAAAATTTTGAAAAGTCGACGCTGAGAGTCCCGGTTTCCAACACTGATCCGCCCTCCTTCTACCCTCTTCTGCCACTGAAACGACCCTTTCCTGATTGGATTGTAACGTGCAACACAGAAAAGATTCGTGGCAATAATCGACGAGCCTCCTCTAAAAACTTCAGTCGAGATTAGGGTCAGCAGGTTTTCTAAAGGTGGAAATGCACGAGGGCAAAGTTGTGAAACTTTCACAAGGATTGTGGCAGGTGCGGCTCTTCAAGCCCAGACGGAAATGTTGCAGAGGACTCTACTTTCAACAAGGTGTCAAATACACCGAAAACTTGATGAATGCGCCCAATAAGAGAAATCATAAAAAGGGACGACTCCTCCCGCGATGTGCCTCGAACTCACATCCGCAGCGCTAACCCTGCAGAAATCGAACTAGATGGGCTACTAACAAAAAGGTGCGTTGCTAACATCGTTGCGTTGCTCACCAAACTCTGCATATCCGCTGCCACTTTTCCTACCGTCTGGATAGCTTCTTTGAAGAGAAATGCTTCGAAGTTCAGCTTGATGCTGAAATGGCCTTCGCCGGATTTATCGCTTACAGAATTCCAGCGCTTCCAACATTTGTAATGGGTGAAACTCCAGTTT